ACACCCGCCCTTTTCGTTTTCGATCGAACCCCTTTGGGGGGGTATACATTTCTTCCCTGCAGGCCAGGCCCCGGCAAGCGGCGGGGCGGCCGCGGACCGTCGGCCTGGCCAGCGGCAGCACTGATCGGCGGGGCGGCCGCGGACCGTCGACCCGACCCCAAGAGGGACGACAGGGGACCGACCACGACGACGACGACGACGGCGACGACGACGTCGACGACGACGGCAACGACGGCGACGGCGACGACGACGACGAGCGAAAACGAGAGCGAGAGAGAACGACAGCAGGGCCACCAAGGACACGAAGTAGGCCACGAAAGGCGACAGCGGGGACACGAAGGGAATGCGTATGGGGCCATGAAAAGCGCGAGCGAGCGTGGGCCACGAAGGGCAGATAATGCGGGGCCACAGAAGGCAACGATGGGGCCACTGAGGGTGGCACCTGGGCCACGTAGGACAATGAGGGGGCCACAAGCGGCGACAGCGGGGCCACGAAGGGAATGCGTATGGGGCCACAACGGGCGCGAACGAGCGGGGGCCACGAAGGGCATACGTATGTTGGGCCGCGGAGAGTAAGGACGGGGCCACTGAGGGCAGCAACGGGGACCCGAAGAGCAGCGAGGGGGCCACGAAGGGCGACAGCGGGGCCACGAAGGGCATGCATATGGGGCCACCGCGGGCGCGAACGAGCGGGGGCCACGAAGTGCATACATATATGGGGCCACGAAACAAAGCGAGGGGGCCACGAAGGGCTGCAACGGGGCCACGAAGGGCAGCGAGGGGGCCACGAACGGCAGCGAGGGGGCCACGAAAGGCTGCAACGGGGCCGCGAGACAAAGCGAGGGGGCCACGAAGGGCTGCAACGGGGCCACGAAACAAAGCGAGGGGGCCACGAAGGGCTGCAACGGGGCCGCGAAGGGCAGCGAGGAGGCCACGAAGGGCTGCAGCGGGGCCACGAAACAAAGCGATGGGGCCACGAAGGGCTGCAACGGGGCCACGAAACAAAGCGAAGGGGCCACGAAGGGCTGCAACGGGGCCACGAAGGGCAGCGAGATCCTGATTCCTAGGTAATCTGTGAAGGAGTCCTAAGCGTGAGCGCGACTCCTGGGTGCCTGGGTGTCGGGAGCGCGGCGCTGGAGTAAATTGCGAGAAATTCCAACGCAGGGGCGTTATTCTTGTGTAGGTTGCAAGCAAATCTCCAGCGAGAGCGCGACTCCAGAGCGCTGGAGGAGCGATTCCTGAATAAATCGTAAGGAAGCCCCAAGCGAGAGCGCGATTCTTGAATAAAATGCGAGGAAGTCTCGGGCGGGAGCGGGGGTCCTGGCTAAATTGTGAGGACGTCTCAGGCGGGAACCGTTGTTGTTGTAACCCCGGGGCCAGGGGGCCAGTTTGAGCAAGAAGGGTTTCTCTGACGAAAAACATGGTGCGAGCCCCGGGGGGGGCACTTCAATTGAAAAAATAAATGTGCACCGATGTGGGGATCAGCAATAATTAGTCTTCAAGAATGAGAGTTCAACGGTTCCGCTCGAGACTTCCTCCTTTTTGACTCAGGGCCGGTGCTCTTTCTCGCCGCCGAAAGCCGCCGTCCCAACAAAACCAGCGCTACCGCTCGAGAGTTCCTCCCGTTTTACCTTGGACTGGCGCGCTACTCTTTCTCTCATCGGCGCCGCCCCCAGCAACAACAGCAACGCTCCCGCTCGAGACTTCCTTCCTTTGTTGCTCAAGGCGGTGCTCCTCCTCGCCGCCGAGAACCGCCGTCCCGACAAAACCAGCGCTCCCGCCCGAGAATTCCGTCCGTTTTACGCTGGACTGGCGCCCAACTCTCTTTTGAATTGGCGCCGCTCCCAGCAAGAACAACGCTCCTGCTCGAGGCTTCCTCCCTTTTTTTCCTCAGGACGGTGCTGTTCCTCGCCGCCGACAGCCCCAGTCCCGACAAAACCACGGCTCCCGCTTGAGATTTCCTCCCTTCTTACTCAAGGCCGTGTTCCTCCTCGCCGCCGACAACCGCCGTCCCAACAAAACCAGCATTCCCGCTCGAGACTTCGTGTTGTTTTACGCTGGATTAGCGCCCTACTCTCTTCAGCATTGGCGCCGCTCCCAGCAACAACAGCGGCCCTGCTCGAGACTTCCTCCCTTCCTATTCAGGGCCAGGTCCTTGCCTCGCCGCCGACAGCCCCCATCCCCACCAAGGTAATCCTGTCGCTCGAAACTTCCTTGTGTTTTACCCTTGGCTGGGGGTCCACTGGCGGTCTCGCATCGGCGCAGCAAGGCGCGGGCATGCGTTTTCGAAACGGGATATTTTGAATTTCCTCGGAGGAGGTGTTTGCAAGACCTCATTGGGCGGGATATCTGGGGATGGGAACAACGGACCCCGCTATAGAACAATAATCCCCCATGATGGGGATGGTTGTCATGATGGTCGCATGCTCCGTTTGGAAGCATCGTGCATGAGGGTAAAATGATTGTTGTTGTCGCTGTTGTTACTGCTGCTGCTGTTGAAGTTTCATTCATCATAAATCAGTCGTGTCGATCCCCCCCCGCCCGGTAACCATTTTATGCTTTCGAATAAAGTGTTGACTGATCCCTGGGCTCGCACCTGTTTTCTATCAAGGGGAAGCGAGGTGTCTCCAACTAGCGCCCTTGGCCCCGGGTTTACAGCAACAGCGATTCCGTTTTGATATTTCCTCACATCTTTTCCCAAGGAGTACATGCCGTTCACGGCCCCGAGGAGAAAAATAGCGTATGGTAGCAAGTGGTGACATAGTGTCAGAGTTCCCATGAAAGTGGAGGTACGTTGGCACCCCTCCGTACGGCCGTCTTCGTTGGCCGAGGGGCCGTAGGGAGGGCCTCGGCCCCCTTCAGTGCCTATTGACGGCGTGGTGAACTGGTGAATTGGTGGGAGAGGGCGGGCCCGAAGCAGCCCCTATGATGGCAGCTGCGAGGGGTGAGGCCTATGAATGGTCCTCACTGGTGAAGCCTATATGGTCCTCACCAGGCTGGTGGGAGAAGACAGGAGGCTGAAGTAGAGGTCCGACAGCAGCGTCCTGGGAGGGATACTTGAAAAAGGACACAAACATAACACATTTGCCTCCGCCTTTGCAGCCCTGGAGGATCGTTTGATTTTAACCCCGGTCCTGCCCCCCAAACAAGGGGAGGGAAAGGGGGCGCAGGGCAACGGGAAGGAGAAGGGGAGGAGGGAACGGTAAGGGGAACAGGAAGAATGGGAAGGAGGCGGGGAGGAGGGGACGGAAGGGGGAACAGGGAGAAACCTGGGGAAGAAGGGTGTTGGCACTCGCATTAGGCAGTGTGTGTTGAGTGGAATGTTCGCGTCGTGACCGTCTGTCGAGTTTGATGTGGCGGGCTAGTTCCCTGACGGGGGGTTGGCTCGTTGGTGGGCTGTGGCGCAGTCCAGCGCGCGATCCCGGGCAGTTTCGGGCGTGTGGCGCACGCGGGCATTGCTAGTGCCGCGGTGCACACGGGCGTGCACTATGGTGTACGCAGGCACTGCAATGTACGCGGGCGTTGTGGCGCACACATCTGTCGTTGCAGCAGCAGCTGTGGTGTACACAGTCATAGTGGGTGTGCGCAAGCATTGTGGTGTACACAATGATACATTACAAGCCTCGTGGTGTACACAGGCGCCGTGATGTACATCGCTGTAGCGCGCAAAGTCGCTATGATGTAACCGTGCGTTGTGGGCTACATGTGCCCACGCATCTCTCGCTCTACTTATTCCTTCTCGTTCCTCTTCATTTTCGTCGTCGTCTTCCTTGCGCATACAGGACGCCAGCACTGTGGTGTGCACAAGCATAGTGGTGCACACAAGCCTTGTGGTGCACACAGGCGTTGTGTTTCACATCTGCTTTGGGGTCCAAATGGCCAAATATTACTCCTGCTCCCCCCGCTGGTATTGCTATTCCTCCTGCTATTCCCGCGTGTATTCCTTCGACTGACGCCGTTCCGCGCGACCCCAAGCCGCGTGGTGTTCATGGGCGCCGTGGTGCGCGAACTTGCCAGACGTGCGCTGTCGCTATGGCGAACACAGGCGTCGTGGGCCTAACATATCCGAGCGTTCCTTGGGCCAGAATGACACACATTCACAATCAATTCGGATACTGAATTTGAGACATTTGGGCCACCAGCGATTTTCCGGAGTTTGGCTCCGTCAGTACCTTCAGGTGTACACGCTTTGTGTGTTGTACACAGGTAGTGTGGTGTACATGGGGTGCTGAAACAGCAGCTGTGGTGCACGCGGGCGCCGTGGTGTGCGCAAACAGTGTGATGTACATCGACGCTGTGCGGCACGCGGTTGTTCTGTCCTGGTGCAGACAAAGGCATTGTGGTGCACAGAGCCCGCGTTGTGTCCACAAGCGCTGCGGGCTTGGATGGCGACGACGACGATGACGACGACGACGACGACGACGACGACGACGGAGACGGAGACGACGACGGAGACGACGACGTAGGCAACGCGCTTCGGGGAGTGCGCGCCGCGGCCCCCGTTACCGTACCCCCCAGGGCAATTCTGTTTTCCCCCATGACAAAAACGGTCTCATGTGGATCGGTTGTGTTTTCTCTCTCTCTCTCTCTCCCTCTGTTATTATTGTCCCCGCTTTCTTGACCCACCCTCTCACCCCCTCGCTCGATCACACCCTCCCCCTATGATTGTTCGTTGCCTCGCATGCCCCGTTGCTTTCCCTCTCCCCGCTTTTCACCCCCACCCCCGCTCGCGCTTCCGTTCTCGTTCCCCTCCCATTTTGGCGGCGCGCAGACGGGGGTTTGGGGGGGGTGGAAGGCTTCTTGGAAGCACCGCTGCATGTCTGAAGCCTCTTCCCCTCCCCCATCCCCCCTTCGCGCGCCGCCAACTATCCTCTGCTCCGCCCCCCGGCCTCTCTCCCCCCCTTGGCCCTGGCATCTTGGCTGCCCGCCGTCCCCGCCGCCCCTGCTTGCCTGCCTGCGCGCGTTTCCCCTCCGTGCGCCGCCCCCCCGGCGCTGTGCAGATGGCCGAAGCGCCCGAGAAGTGGAGCCCCGAGGGGGGGGGGCGGGCGCCCCAGGGGCAGCGCGAGGAAGCGGGCACAGCGGGCGGGGCAGGGGAGGCGGCGGGAAGGCAGTAGGGAGGGGGGCGGCGGGCAGGAGGGGTGGGGAGGTAGAGGGGAGGGAAGGGCCGCAGGGAGGGGCGCCGAGGGCGCCGAGGAATTGATCGTCCGACATCTCCGCCTTCTTGCTTGCTTCTCCACTGGTGTTACCCTCCTCTGGTGTAAGGGAGAGCATGTGCCATCTGAGACGTCTGGCCCACTCCGCCAAACTCCTGAGCAGTATGAGGACCCCTGGAGGCTGGATGAGCAATGGCTCTCTCAGGTGCGGTGGCACGGGCAGTTGGAATCTTACTCTTGGCATGGCGTTTGCCGACACGGCGAGACGGCCGGAGAGTCGTTCTCGTTCGTTCGCCTCGGCTTGGGGAGGGGGGAGAAGCCGAGCAGAGGGAGGGGCTGATGTTGAGGCGAGGAGGGCAGGTGACGTCACATGGGAGACGGTACTGAAAGGCGGAGCGAGTGAGGGACTGGCCGCTGGGATGAGCTTATGTGGGCGGGACGTGGAGGGGAGGAGACGGGGGAGAGGAAGGGGGGGAGGCGGATGAGGCAGCTGGACCCAGAGGCGCTGAAGTCGGTCTTGGGGGTCCTTGGGCAATCCTGTGTGGTTTCCGTTTTTTTTCTGGCCCTTTCGGATCCGTCTTGGGGCTGTCCGGGGCAGTCTTGAAGTAGTCTTGGAGCGTCTTGGGACGGTGTTGGATCCATCCAGCTTGGAGCCCGTCCAGGCCGTACGTCGGCATTCGTGAGGCCATCTAGCGTCGCGTACCTAGACGAAGACATCCCGTGCCGAACACACACACACACACACACACACACACGCACACGCACACGCACACGCACACGCACACGCACACGCACACGCACACGCACACGCACACGCACACGCACCCGCACGCACACGCACACGCACACGCACACGCACACGCACACGCAAACACACAAACACACAAACACACACACAAACACGCACACAAACACAAACACACAAACACTCACAAACCCGCAAACACGCAAACACGCACACACAAACACAAACACACAAGGACACAAACACACAAACACAATTATACAAACAAACACACAAACACGCATGCACACAATCACACAAACATCAACCCACACAAACACAAACACATATAAACACGGATACACAATTTAACACACACACACGCACACACACACACACTCGCACACACACACACACACACACACACACACACACACACACACACACACACACACACACACACACACACACACACACACACACACACCACACACACACACTTTTCCCTCGCGGGCGCAAGCGAAAGCGCAGACGCCGTGGTGAAGGGTCTGGGCCGCGGGCCGATTATTACACGCGCGGGCGAGGCAAACTAAGCGGGCGGGCTGCCTAAGCTGCCTGCGCAGACGGCGTGAGGGGAGGTGCTACGCGCGAGCCTAATCACACAGCGACCGAGCGCGGGATCAGAACCTACCGCCGGGGGGGCAGCTGGCTGAGGCTGAGCTGGCTGAGCTGACTGCAAACGGCCAGGGTAGCTTGTTGCACGCGTGCGAGACCCAGAAGAACAACCGGGTGAATTGGATCCTGCGCGCCAGGAGACGTCGTGACCTGTGCTGTAGGATACAGACCAAACGTCCGTCCAGCGAGGCTGTGCCACCAGACGGTCAAATCAGTCACACACACACACACGCAACCACATTTTTTTAGTCAACGGCCGCGGGCGAGCGCGCCGGCGGCGAGTCCAGTCAAAGCGGGGCACGCAGCGACGAATTACTAAAGCTACGGAGGGTGGCCACACGTACAGCGGTTAACCGGCGCCTCACGCAGCAGCTCAGCGGCGGACCGGCGAGTGGGGGGGCAGCTGAAACTGAGTCGCACTGCCAGCGCGCAAGTATGCATAGCGTCGGAAACACCAGGAAGTCGGGACACACGACGACCCGGGTCAGAAACCGAATTAATGCATGGACGCAACCCGGACAACTGCGTGAATACCCGGGTGGCCCGAAGGACCGTCGGTCAAGGTCGAATTAGTGCCGAGACGAGGCGAGAGCGCTGGCAGGCTGCGAGATCCCAGGGTGGCCGTGGCCGCGCAGTCCCAAGGCAGCAGAACGCACGAGAGTGGGAAGCAGCAAAGCTGCCGCGCAGCCACAATGGCGCGGGCCACCACGGACCAGTGCGTGAAGTGGCGCCAGGATGGCTCACCACGAGCCCTGGACAGGGCCGCGAGCCCGAAGTTAGCACGCCGAAGGTGGCGACAGGCGGGCGAAGGCACGGGGAGAACCCGGGCCTGAGACCAGGGAATCGGCCGCACGCGGTGGGGGCACAAAGCTGGAGCGGTGTCAGAGACGGCCGACGGCCCCGTGGAGGGAAAGAGAAACCGCGACTTGAGCGGCAAAGCGAAGGCCAGTACGGTGGGGGACGACACCGCCGACCGACGGGGAGATCGGAGGCCAAGTCGAGGGGGGGGTGCGCCCCGACCCTGCGGGCCGCCCGGCAGCGCGGGATATCGCGCCCCGGGGGTGCGAACATTTAAAGCGGGTCGGAGGCCGATAGTGGGCAGGTGGGCCACGGCCCCAGCAGTAGCCCACGAGTCAGCATTGTCAGCGCGCCACTGCTCAAGTTCCCAAGGGCGGGGAGCAGTGGGGGATGGGCAGGGGGAGGCACCAGGGAAGGGACACTGCCTGCAAGTCGATCGGCGGCCACAGCAGGGACCGCGGCGGACACGTCTAGGGCGAAACAAAGGGGGGGGCAGGTGGGCCACGGCCCCGGCGGAGGCCCACGAGTCAGCGTTCGGGAGCCTCGAGACGGGGGTCAGTGCAAACGGGGGTCAGCCAGAGCGCCGGATCTTGCAGGATCCTGCAGGGCCAGGGTCGCATTGACCCGGGTTTGGGTGCAGGATCCTGCAGGATCTTGCAGGATCCTTCGCATTGACCCGGGTTTGGGTGCAGAATCTTGCAGGATTTTGCAGGCCTGATTGACCCGGGTTTGGATTGACCCGGGTCAGAAGATCCCCGAAGCGTGGTCAGCAGTCCGTTGCCCCTGCCTCGAGGTCCTGAACGACGGGGGCTGGGCAGGGAGTGGCCCCGGGGAAGGGGCGTTGCCTGCGAGTCGGGCGTCGGCCACAGCGATAGCTGTGCGAGTCGCGACAAGGGTGAAACAAGCGGGGGCCGCCGTCGGAGGTCGCCGCCCAAGCCCCTAAACGCGCGCAGGTCGGAGGTCCAAACCAGGGATAGCGAGAGGCCACAGCGAGCCGTGCGAGCGAGGCGCCGGAACCTTTGGCCAGGCGGGCCCCAGTTTAGAGGTGTCGATAATATCGAACCGCGTTCCTTCTTGGCCTAGCGGGCCTCATTTTAATCTGAGAATCGAGGGCGCAGCCACGGCGAGCCCCTCGGGCCTGAGGTCTGCACATCTGGAGAGGATAGCTGCGGTCGGTTGCCTGCCCATTGGGGCATCAGGTCGGCGCGTGGTCAGGCGCGTCGGGGCAGGTTCGGTTGGGTATCCGGCGGCGGAGTCAACGCAGCGCCGTCGAAGCGCGCGTGGTCGGGATGCGGCGCGGCGGGGCCCAGCGGGGGGGTGGGGTCCTATAGCCATGTGCGGGAGCGTTTGTCCCCTCTCCCGTCATTGCTATCGTCGCCGCCACGCTTGCCTGCTGCCTGCCAATCGTCGCCGTCCCAGCCCTGCGTCCATGACCATGCGTCCCAGACCCAGGTTTGGCGGGAGCTTGCGGCGCATCCCCCTTGTGCCGCGGTGCGCTGCCACCCTGGTGTCCTGACCACTTGTCGCGCTCCCGTTCCCATCTGACCTGGGGCCCGAGTTTGCGACCCATCACGTAGGCGTCGTACCCGCGTCGCTTCCAGGCGTCAAGGAGAGCACTGCACGTGCCCTCGGGGTTCAGCGCGGGGTCACTCTTTGGGCTGTTGGCAGCTCGGTGCTTGCGGGTCGAGGCGTGCCAGATGCTGCTGAACACTCCCCCGAGGGTGTTTTGGGGGCGGGAGATCTTGGCTGAGGGTGCTTCCGAAAACTTGTCGAGATCGACGTTGCTCAACGTTCATTGCACATGGGGCCCCCTGCGACGGGGTCGACGAGGTCGTCAAACACCCGCTTGGAGCCCCATTCCCGGGGGTTGGCGAGCGGCGGTTTCGAGTTGGCCGGTTGGGGCGGGGCCCGGGGGTTGGGGGCGGGCGGACAGGAGCTGCCTGGCTGGGAGAAACGGTCGCCCGCTACCCCGGGGGGGGGGGGGGGGAGCGGCTGTCAGACGTTGCCGCTGGGGCGCTGCTGTTCGCCGGCTTGCAAGCAGGGTGCCGCTGCGGGAGGTCGCGTGTCGCCATGGGCGGTGGGCTGACCCCTCGGCTGGCGTCGCTCTGGCGGGCCCTCGCTGAGGCGTCTGGCGTCGCATCCGAACGCCCTTAGAGCCTTAGCGGGTCGTCGGGAGGGCCGCTTCCAGCTTCCTCGTCTGCTGCTGTTCCGGACGAAAGAGGAGGCGGGGAGCCCTCAGGTCCGATCGCGCCGTCTGGTGTGCCGCCAGGGGGAGGCGCGGGAATCGGAGGGCGGCGGCGCCTTTTTCCACGTCGTAGTCTATCCCTGCGACCTCCGCCTTGACGGTGGATGCTGGGCTCGTCGGGGATTCCTCTCCTTGAGGAGAGGGACCTGTCGCTTCGGGGCCTGTCGCGAGGGGGGCGGGGTCTGTCCGGGGCGCCAAGAGCCCGACGTCACTGCTGGCTGCGCCGTACATGGGGGCAGCGGTGGCTGAGGGGGCGTCGCGCGATGATCCCGCTATGCGCTTGGGATCCGGCTGCAGCCCGGCAATCGTGGAATCCCACAGAGACGGGGCGTGGGCTTCGCAAGCGGATGGGGCCGAGGGGTCCTGCCCCGCCAAGGTGGCGATGGAGAGCGCTGGAGTCCAGGCTGGCGATGAAGCCGGCGAGGACGGC